AGAGAGAGAGAGAGAGAGAGAGAGAGAGAGAGAGAGAGATTGAACGAAAAAGCAGATTTCAAGGCCATCCAGGAATAAACCATATATAACTTAAAATAAACCACTATCTCTTAATACAAAACAAACCCTGTTTTTGAGAAACCACAAACCCGACACGTAGAGAACACACAAAGCTACCACAACTTAAAAAAAAGAGAAACAGTCCATAATCTCTTTTTCTATCCTTCCGTTATGCATTTGTACTATTTCCATGTGCACGAAATAAGAACAATTACAGGAAATCATACTCAGTCGCTTTCCATGATACCAAAATTCGGTGAGAAGGGAAGAATTCTCACTGCAAACTAGAGTAATCCATGTAAACACGCGCGCGCGAACCGCTCATCCATGAAATATCTCAGGCCATGATTTCCACGCACGTCCTGATAGCAGGATAGCGCTGTGTAAACTGATGAAGAACTGTGAGAAATTCTTCCCTTGTCCCTGCCTTCCTTACAACTCCGGCAAGGCTCATAAAAAGAAGGCTTCGTCTGAAACACACTCACACATCGCTGCCTCTTGCGCTCTGCAGCTAGTAGCTCTTGGCTCTTGGTTCTTCCTACGGGTTGAGGTTCATTCGACGTACGATGATTTGCTTCTCTTTTCTGTCTTTTTTTCCCTACACACAACTTCGTTTTTCGTTTGTTGAAGAAAAGAAAAAAACCCGCTAGAATTGCTTATCTTTTTTTGTCTAGAGTGCGAGAGCTGCTAACTTTGATTTTGTTTTTTTGTGACTTCGATTTCATTAGACGCTCGTTTTGTTGTTTTCCTTGCACTATGTAACCTTTAACCCTGCAGCGTTGTTTCTTCTCAGTTCGCAAGAGAAAGACTTGACAGTTGAAGAGTCCGCTCCACTCTCATGGCACTTGGCTACTGTTTACCCTTTGCCTAATTATTTGCATAAGTGGATATATTCAGAATTGCGAGTTGGATTCACAGCTCCTGCGAAGCGTTTCCCTATCATGAAGCATTAGCTAGTTCCGCAATGTTTTGGTTTCAGTGACTCAGACAACCTTGGCACCTTCGCAGCATGAGCAACGAAAGATGAGAGACCACAAAATGACCTTCGCTACATACGCAAAACTAGATAAAGAAGGAGAAAAAGACAAACCCTAATCAGGAACCAAAGACTCTGGCAAATGAGATGGGAAGCCAACAGAATTAGAATAAAGAGCATGGGAATAGGGAGTGCAAAAATGTTGTAAATCTGCAAAAAGGGAAGTCATGACTGATCTAAAAATATAAGACAGCAAAGTGAAATATTCAGTGCCCAAGATTATGCTACGGAACGTACATATCATCTCCACTCACTGAAACCGGCATTTCCCCATTGGCATAGGTCTAATTGGCTGCAAGTGCCTTCCGACTCATCACGAGATGATTAATGATGACAGAACAGTGCACCCCCCC